TATCTACACGTCATTACACAGTCATCGGAATATGTAAAGTTCGTGGCGTCTAAAACCAGAGTAGCCCCTTTGATTCACCAGACTATCCCACGACTAGAACTTTTGTCTGCTCTGATCCTATCACGCCTAATATCAACGATTCAAACGGCTATCCAATATGAAGTGAAATTAGAAGATCCCAGATGTTTTACAGATTCAAAGGTGAGCTACCATTGGATAGTGCAACAATCGAAAGAATGGAAACCTTTCATTCAAAACAGAGTCAACGAAATTAGAACTTTGGTACCCGTCACAGCATGGGCTCCTTGCCATGGCTTAGATAATCCTGCTGATATTCCGTCACGGGGTAGACATCCTAAAGAATTCTTACACAATCGGCTATGGACAGAGGGACCAAAATGGATAATCAACAATGACACGGTTAACGAATCTACTATGGTACCAGAAATTACACCAGTAGAATGTATATCGGAGATGAAAGCCAAAGACAAGGCAGAATATGATTCTGTATTATTAGTAGACCAGGAAGACACAGAGAACTTAACTAACATTATCGACGCAGAAGAATATAGCAACGCAAACAGACTCTTCAGGATTACAGCTTATGTAATGAGATTCGTCTATAAGCTGAAGGCACATTCGAACCAGCATCCAGATTGAACATATACAGAAAAATTCTTGTCTTTAGAAGAAATTAGGCATGCTGAAATTTTATGGATAAAGGAGATTCAGAAATCTTTAAGACAGAACAAGAACTTTGGTAATTGGAAACGACAATTTGACGTTTACGAAGATGAAGCACATATTTTGAGGCGTCGAGGAAGATTAGCCAATTCAAGTTTACCAGACAGTGCAAAATTTCCTATCTTATTAGATTCTCATCATCACTTAACATCACTAATAGTACGAGATTGCCATAAACAAGTTATGCATAGTGGAACAAAGGCAACTTTAACAGAACTCAGATCTCGGTTTTGGATAATAAAGGGACGTCAATTTGTAAGAAGACTTATACATGGTTGCGTCACATGCCGAAGATATGATTGCAAACCTTATGATCCAGCTCCCGCACCACAACTACCTAACTTCAGAGTCACTGAAAATCCACCTTTTAGTCATATAGGAGTAGATTTTGCTGGTCCACTTTATGTGAAAACCAATGACAAAGATTTACAACAGAAGGTATGGATATGCTTGTTCACCTGTTGTTCCAGTAGAGCGGTTCACTTGGAATTAGTGCCTGATATGCAGACATCATCGTTCCTTCGATGTTTTCAACGTTTCACATCAAGAAGGGGCCTACCCGTAAAGATTTTATCTGACAATGGGAAAACTTTCACATCAGCAGCGACACATTTTGAGAAGCTTTCCAAGGATCCGGATTTCAATTATTACTTGCAGGGCAAAGGCATTCATTGGTCCTTTAACCTTGAAAGGACCCCATGGTGGGGTGGCATATTTGAACGACTTATCAAGTCCACAAAAAGATGTCTGAAGAAGACCGTCGGTGGAGCCAAACTTACTTATGAAGAATTAGAAACTGTCCTGATTGAAGCAGAAGCTGTGCTCAACTCTCGGCCCCTATCGTAACCTCGACAGAGGATGTGGAAGAACCTTTGACCCCTTTTCATCTTTTGTATGGTCGTAGAGTTACCAATTTACCAGATGTAAATTCAAATACTAACCAAGATCCAGACTATGACCCTACCCACAACGAAATAACTAGACGAATGGTATATCTCCAAAACACAATAAACCATTTTTGGGAACGATGGAAAACGGAATATCTTTTAGAACTACGCTCATCTCACCGTCATAGTCCACAAGTTAAATCAATTGCTAATATCGGAGATGTAGTTGTTATTCTCGATCAAGATCACCGAAGAGGCCAATGGAAATTGGGTAAAATTGAGCAATTGATAACAGGTAACGACAACCAAACACGTGGAGCTATAGTTCGCGTTCACACCAAAGATGGTAAAACCAGAACTCTTCGCAGACCTGTGCAGCATTTATATCCTATGGAAATTCAAAAGTCAACAGAATCCGAAGAAACAATTTTGAAACCGGATGATAGAAGTGATGAAGCCGATGTTATATTTCCAAAAGAAGAGACTCGAACACCGAGACCAAAGCGAACAGCAGCCAAAAAGGCAAATGAAAAGAGGAAATCGTGGATGAAGGATCTTTAACTGTTTCAATTTAAAGCTACATGATAGACTTTCAAATTATTTCAAATTGGGTGATGACCACTTCATTCGTTTAAATATAGGACTTTAACTCATTCCACTGGTCATCAGGGGGGAGTGTGACTGAGTTACTTTAAACGGTCAAGTGGTACGGTAATTATATTATGTTTATAAGAGTTATCTCCCTTATGTAAAAATAAAGATGGCTGATTAAAGATTTGTAAACACAGAACTTGAATGAATGATTGGACCTGCACATTTGAATGAGTATACAGTCCTCATTTTTTGATTCGGAGCCTTTCTATAAGCATTTGAGAACCCAACGCCGGTAAACTTACCGCCCATCCCGTACAATTTGTTTAGCAATACATTTTTCAGGAACCTTAGATACATAGTTTAAGTTGGAGACAGGCCGATAGTTTTTGAAGTTATCTGGATCCAGTGATGGTTTTTTAAGAAGTGGTCTAACATTTGCACACTTAACGATTCAGGAAATGTACAGGTAGAAAGCGCAGAATTTATTATGTCAGTAATACTTGGTAGAATCTCCGCATTCTTTTAGAAGCCAAGTTGGAATTGGATCTAATTGACAAGATTTATTAGCAGAAGATGTTATAATTTTCTTGATATCCTCTTTTGAGACATTATTGAATTTACTAAGCAGTCTTTTCAGTGTCATGTGAGAGAGGTATGTTTGAGACCAGCAACACCCAGGAATCGGGTGATTTGGGACACTAATGTTGTGTTCAAATATTTGCAAACATTGTCTCCAGTGAAAAAGATTTCATTTTAAACACTGACACTGAAATTAGTTACATTATTAGCACTATTAACAGGTCAAAGAATTCAGACCATTCAGTTAATCGACATTCGTAATATTACTTTATCTAATTTCTTTGTAAAAATTATACAAGGTGATTTGTTGAAACAAACTCGACCAGGCTACCAACAAAAGGAAATTGTTGTTAAAGCTTATGGTCCAGATAGGAGACTATGTGTATTAAAAGTGTTATGAGTTATAGGTTATTTTTAAGTTATGTGAAACCACATAAACCTGTGTCACGGGACACTGTAACTAGATGGATAAAACTAGTTTCAAAACGTGCAGGTGTAGAAATGGATATTTTTGTCCCATATAGTATTCGATCTGCTTCATGTTCAGCTGCTAGTAGAGCTTGTGTTCCTCTAAAATCAATTTTGGACACTTCTGGGTGGTCAAATGAGTCCACTTTTAGGAGATATTATGATATACCTATAAACAACCAGGGTGTTTTTTCGGAAAAAATATTAGATTTAGTGCAATGATTTGAGTATTATAAGAAGTTGCCAGTGACCAATCCAGTGTAACAGGGTTATTCTCGAGGCCCTTGCCCGAATGCGTCAATTAGTTTATAGTAGTGACCAGCAAATCTGCTGCTCATGTGTCATCATCAGCGGTCCATCTAATCGGTCTTGCACTATGAGTTAGGGTTAGGGTTAGGGTTAGGGTTAACCCTTGCACTATGAGTATGAAGGGTAAATAAACCAAGCACTCAAAACAGCAAATTCTGCAGATTTCTGTAATATTTTGAATATCTAAAATCGTAATAAGAGAGGGTCGCTTCGGTGATAATTGTGGATTTTTGCTGACTGGTGTTAAAATGGGATTTGAATAATTGGTTCCCCTTAATTTTATGTAGCTGGTGGGGCAAGTGCCCACCCCCCTGTATATAAGTTTTGTTTGTTTTTTAGTTTTGGCTGTGGCTTAGGGACAATGCAAATCTTTCAGTCTCTTGTGAATACTTTTTATAGTTCTTCCATGTTATGAATTATTTGGATGTGTGAAATAATTTGTAATAATATAAATCATGAATATTTTGCTTCTTTATCAGCCATTTTGAATCCATTATAAGATAAGAAGAATGAAGGTCAGGTCACGAAAAATGTTTTTGTACAATTGTGCATTTAATCTGACATGATTTTCCCATCCCTCCAGACAGCTGTTATGCTCTGTCGTTGTCAGCCTTATCTTTATACGCCCTCATGAAATGGGGCCGTATATTAGCGTCACCCATGTCCGTCGGTCCGTTCGTTCGTCCGCCCGTCCGTCAACAATTGCTAAACAAACACTCTACAAGACACAATTCTTGACAGATTTTGACGAAACATGGTAGGAGTGTTTGTTATCACCCAAGGATGAACCCTATTAAAATCAGAAAAATAGAAAAATAATTGGTATGAGTTATTGCCCTTGTTCTTGGAAACGCTTTAAATTGTTAGCTCGTAAACACTCTAGAAGGCACAATTCTTGAGAGATTTTGTAATCTGTTCAGTTTAAAAGAAGTGTATGACTGAAGGTTGAATATTTCATACTGGTGATTGTTACTGTACTGCTAAATATTTTTATTTAAAATCAAAGCTGCTAGTGGGTGTATATTACCTTGTCTGGCTGTATCTTAATTTGAATGTCTTATCTATTCTCCTAGTATAAAAAGAGAAAATTAAATACTATCATAGACATTATTATAGAAATCATCCAGGTAGGTTTATTATTGTAAGATTTGAACGACATATAGAAGCGAGGAGCACATATAACAAAACACAAGACAATATTATGGAATATAAAACACATATGTGCCTAACCTTATTAAAGAAGTGTGTTATATTCTATAATATTGTCCTGTGTTTTGTTATAGGTTCATTATTATAGTCAAACACAGACATTTGTCAAAACATAAACACAACTATTGTATTATATCTTAGAGGCGGTGGGTGTAAAATTCCCAACTCTCCGAATTGGGTCAGTAAAGACTTAAAAAAGTGCTCACAGCCATGAGAGCAACTTTTGCAGGTAAAAATTTCAAATCTAGGTAAAAAATTCAGGCAAGCTCGGATATTTCGCCCCCACCCACTCCCCCCTTCCCTAGGACGTAAACCTGGCTCCGCCACTGATAACTAGACGTGAAGACCTGTGTCTGAAGCTGACCAGACTGATACCGGACAGTAAATCTTTGATTCGTGAACATCAAGCTCAGGGCGGCACACACTAAGAACTATCATCTCATTATCAAAATCTGACCATATCAATATTGATTATTTTTTGTAATAAAGAGTGATATTCAGTAAATGTGAATAAAATTATTTACTTGATTATTGAAAGGGCTTGGTGGCATCTGGTAGTGTAGAGGTCAGGTGAACAGGGTGAAAAAAGAATGAGAAGCACTGCTCTGATAGATATTTTGACATATATTCACTGGAGTCAGAAAAACTAGGCCCTATTATATGGGGATTTTCTACACCTCCGACGACTTTTTTCTCATATAATATTAAATTACCTTTACGATGACTGTAGATTAGGTTTACTGTCTCTACACTAACCAACTTTCAAAATATCTATCAGAGACTGGAATATAGGCAGATGTTTCGGTTTACATGCAAACAAGCACTGGAATTAATACTTCACTGTAAATCTCAACAAGCGCTGGAGGAACGAACCACAAACTAGATTAAAGGGAAAGGTGTTCCAACTTTTTGTATCAATCATACCTTTGTCTCAAAAACGAGATTCCTTTTAGCTCAGCCAATCAGTTATAGTGTTCACAGCTCACCGTCGAAATTTGAGGCTTCAAATCCACGTGTGTCCAGAATTATCCACATTCGATAGTTAAAAAGACGAGTCGCATTTCATGAGACACTGTTCAAACCTAAACACTTGTGGCTACCATTTTAAGTTTATTTCAATGTAAGAAAATATTTGTGGTCTGATTGCAATTTTATTAATAATTTAATATTTGTAGTCTAAATCTAATTGGTCTGGATAATCTTGCATTTTTATATTGTCTATTGAATTGACATTTACGTCTGGAGGAAAAAGACTAGTGTTCCTAGATTATTAGAACTTCCTGTTGAAAATAAGCACATGGATGCTATAAAAACTTTTTGTTAATATTTAGCTCGTTTTGAGAGTTCTGTTACAATCAGGAACTGTTTTTTCTAACCAGTTGCGGTTCTCAGTCGCAGTTACAGTGACTTGTAACTTTATCAATATTATTCATTGATTTCATGGTGTGAGAAGATTTGATTTGAACTGTGTTATAAGCCGTTCCTGTATTTCATCATAAATAAACCTAATATGTTGAATTATTATATTTGATTATTTTTTATAGCAAAAGACAATCCCTCTGTCTTAATACGTGGCAATGTCCTGATGAATTGCCTGGATATCGGGACAACACTTAAACTAACGGTTTTTCTATTGATTTTTTCAGACATGAATTGGAAGGTGCTGGCTGGTGTTTTATTGGTATTGTACGTGTCTGTTACTACTACCAAGGAAATAAGAGACACTGCCTCTAACATCCAAAATGGTTTATCAGTAGCTAAGGAACTTGGTGACTTTATTGTGGCTAAAAATTTCAACAATGTCATTGGAAAACTGGCTACTGCTGTAACTCCCTATCTCGGGATCGTTGGACCCTTCGTTTCCTTCATCATGGGATTTCTCGGACAATCTGAATCAGCCGAACTTAAATCCATTAAACGTCTGTACAAAGAAGTTGACAATCGATTCGATAAAGTTGATTTAGAATTTGATGAAGTGAAATACCTGTTTGATTGGAGTAAAATAGAACAGTATTCTAGTGCTGAGCAAAATATTAATGCTGTTAATACGGACTTGGAATATATCTACACATTTTCAACAGGAGTTTTGAAGACTGTAACCTCTACCTTCGTTGATAACTTCAATACTGTTTATCAAGATAGTGGTACAATACTCTATGACGGCATCATGAATGAAGGACAGGTGTTTGGGGATGGTCTTTTTAGTGCTGTCGTCAAGCAAACCAAGTACAACAGAGGAAAAAGCCAAACCTTTATGCTGGGGCTTCTTAAATTGTTGATGAAAGCAGCAAAGTTGGAACTGACTTACCATCAACTGAAAGGTCACACAGCAGCTCTACATGATTACCAAAACCTATGGAGTACTCGATTTACCCATATCAGATCCAAAATGATGTCTACAGATAACTATATTGTCAATCACCATCATACTTAATCTAGAAAAGATATTGACAATTATCTTACAAAGAATCCGAAAATTAAAATGAACAACAATGACTTCAACAACATGCTGTATGATTTCCTGTCTAAAAAATCGATTGAGTATCGCTAGCCAAGAAGATTGTAACTTTGTTTTTGTCTTTGGTTAATAAAAAGATAGCTTGCGAGACAAGGTAACATACGCCATATACTAAAGTACGAATTTTCTCATAGTGAAGAAATTTTATTAGTTTGAATTCAATTACATATATGCCAGTTATTTATGCTGAGTAATTCCACAAAATTTTTTAAAATCAATATCAATAACCCAAATACAACAAACAATTAAATCACACAGCTCTAATCAAGGGCAAAAAACAACTTTTGACGGGTGTTTACAAAGTCAAGGGCAATAACTCAAAAAATGTTCATCAAAAATATCTCATGTTAGAACTTGTCCGAGATCTTATCAATTCCAATGATCACACCAAGTTTCATCGGTTGAAAACTGTAGCGTCTATTGTGCTCACAAACAAATTTTGACACGTTTTATAAGTCAAGGGCAATAACTCAAAAACCGTTCATCAAAAATGCATCAAGTTAGAACTTGTCCGAGATCTTATCAATTCCATTCATCACACCAATTTTCATCAAAATCGGTTGAAAACTGTAGCTTCTATTGTGCTCACAAACAAATTTTGAAGCGTTTAACAAAGTCAAGGGCAATCACTCCGAAAGCGTTCGTTGAAAATGCCTTAAGTTAGAACTTGTCCGAGATCTTATCAATTCCAATGATCATAACAAGTTTGATCAAATTTGGTTGAAAACTGTAGCGTCTATTGTGCTCACAAACAAATTTTGACACGTTTTTCATAAGTCAAGGGTAATAACTCAAAAACCGTTCATCGAAAATGCGTCAAGTTAGAATTTGTCCGAGATCTTATCAATTCCAATGATCACACCAAGTTTCATCAGAATCGGTCGAAAACTGTAGCTTCTATTGTGCTCACAAACAAATTTTGAAGCGTTTTACAAAGCCAAGGGCAATAACTCCGAAAGCGTTCGTTGAAAATGCCTTAAGTTAGAACCTGTCCGAGATCTTATCAATTCCAATGATCATAACAAGTTTGATCAAATTTGGTTGAAAACTGTAGCTTCTATAGTGCTAACAAACACATTTTGACGCGTTTTTACAAAGTCAAGGGCAGTAACTCAAAAACCGTTCAGCGAAAATGCGTCAAGTTAAAACTTGTCCGAGATCTTATCAATTTCAATGATCACACCAAGTTTCATCAGAATCGGTTGATAACTGTAGCTTCTATTGTGCTCACGAACAAACTTTGACACGTTTTAACAAAGTCAAGGGCAATAACTCAAAAATCATTCATCGAAAATGCTTCAAGTTAGAACTTGTCCGAGATCTTTTCAATGATAACACCAAGTTTCATCAGAATCGGTTGAAAACTGTAGCTTCAATCCTGCTCACGAACTATTTTTAACAAATTTCGAGGCGTTTTAACAAAGTCAAGGGCAATAACTCAAAAACCATTCATCGAAAATATGTCAAATTCGAACTTGACCGAGATCTTATCAATCTAAAGCATCACACCAAGTTTTATCAAAATCATATAAAAACTGTAGTCTCTATAGTGCTCACAAGAAATGTTGACGGACGGACCGACGGACAGGTCAACGACAATATACGACCACATATTCACGTGGGCGTATAAAAAGGTAAATTGTTCCTATTATTATCATTTTGTTACAGGAGTTGATCTCCCTTGTTTACAGTCTTGATTATCCATTTACTTGTACAACAAGCTTACGAGTTCACATCGGCAATCTCCGCCGATTTACGAAGACTGGTACCCGAACGAGACCAAACACGTGCAGTAGTTGTTATGAATGCACATGCGTGCTCAACCAATCAGCAGCCGATGACTGGCTATATAAACCAAACCACGCGTGCAGTTAGACACACACAATGACCTCAATAAAGTTAAATGGCGTATGCAAACTGCTCTGAACCAAGTTGCTAAATGGGCAAACGACTGGGGCTTCATTATTTCGGAAGCTAAAACCGTCGGTTTGTTCTGCAGCAGAAAGAAAGATCACGACAGTATTGACCTTAGACTGAATGGTGTGAAGATTAAGCATGAGAATTCAGTAAGGTTCCTGGGAGTACACTTTGACAGGTGTCTTACTTGGAGTACGCACATTGACTATATCTGTAACCGGTCTACAAAAATCTTAAATGTTATGCGTTATGTTTCAGGTACCACATGGGGAGCAAACAGAGAAACTCTAATGATGATGTACAGGTCACTGGTTCGTTCAGTCATTGATTATGGTTGTATTGCCTATGGTAAAGCAAGTGATACTCAACTGAAGAAACTCGACGTTCTACACATGAAAGCTATACGTATTGCCACCAGGGCAGCTGTAGGTACGAAGAATGAGGCGCTACTTCAGGAGGTGGGAGAGAAACCCCTCTCTCTTCGGAGGGAGGAGCTATCTCTCAAATTCTGGGGGAAACTTCAGTATTTGTCCGAAAGCTGTCCGACGTATTCCAGCATCAGAAGATTTACTCGTGTCGGAAATAACCAGAAGAATCGGAGTATTTCTTACGGGCAAGCGGTCATTGATCTATTGAGAGAGCATCAGCTCGATCAAGTAACGATCCTTGAACGCCGCCTATCGGCTACTCCGTTTTGGAAGGTTACCAACCCGACAGTCAACACCCAGCTGATCCAGAGTACCAACAAGCACGAGAACCCAGTGGGAGCAAGAGCTCACGCTCTTGATCTCATTGATTCCGTGTACGCCGACCATTTGAAGATCTACACCGATGGTTCCAAGAGTAGTACCGCAACAGGTTACGGTTTGTGCATCCCAGCAAAAGGCATCCGCATCAGTAAAAGGATCCCCCCGCACTGTTCAGTGTTCACAGCATAACTTTTTGCCATCAGGGACGCGGTAGCATGGTTGTCCGTCAATCACACGGAGCATGCCGCGATTCTATCCGACTCGCTAAGCAGCCTCCAATCTATTTTTCTCACCTCTTCCAATTGCAGGTCAGAAGTTATTTCCGAAATAAGAAGAATGATCCACAACTACCAAACCAACAACAACAAGATTGAATTAGTATGGGTTCCATCGCACGTCTCCATTCCTGGCAATGATCAAGCAGACCGTTGTGCCAAAGAAAGTCTGAGTCTGGAGGATATCGAGCCTGTAGAATACTCCTATTCGGAGTTCTGCAGTATCGTATCTTCTAGGATCAACCAGAAATGGTCTGACATGTTACGGAACCTCGACACCGCAAGATACCAGATTGATCCGAAGATACCAAACCAAACCAAACCAAACCATCCATGTGTAGCCATCTGCAAAGTGGCAACCAGACTCCGGACCAACAACGTACTACGAGACCATCAGTTCAACGCCATTAAATGTCGCTGCGGCCACGTTGCCACAAGGTCGCATATCCTCATTCAATGCACTGAACTGAAACCCGCTCGTAAGCCACTACTAGAGTACCTGGAAACCAACGGCATACCACTAACCATACAGAATGTTTTGGCTCCACCCACGGACCACTGGTATACGATAATGGAACTAGTCTTTCATTTTATAACCAAATCTGTCTTGAACAGATAGGCTAAGTTTTTTTTTTAATCAAAGTCTCTTCCCCCTTTTGTGAAAGCTTCCCCCCCCCCCCCCCCCTCTTTCCCCCCTCTTTTTCTCACTTTCTTTTTTTTTCTTTTTTTTTCTTTTTTTTCAGGTCTTCGAGTTTTCCAACAGATAACAGATAATCTAACCAAACCAAACCAAACCAACGACTACCATTCGACTACCAATCAACAAGAAATACCATGATCAGAACGAGTTTGGAAGAATGAAGGAGACCGAGTAACTCACGCCACACCATTCAGGGCCGAGTTTCACCGCCATGTCATTCGACCCGACCAGATCTAACGAAGAATCAACAACCAAACCAACAACACCGAATCATCCAATTTGATCCAATCCAACTACCAACTACTACGACTACCAACAACTACCTAGTTTGCGATATCAGCATCCGCTGGAAGCGAACGTTAACTTGTCATCTACCAACCAACCATGCAGTTAGACACAACATATTTAGGAGCTGCATTGAATGTACGACCGGATTTTCTATTTAACGATTAGGCTAGATGTAGGACTCCTTAATGACTTTTAAATTTCGTTGTATCCCATATATCAATGTGCTCGCGATTTTCCAAGGTGGTAAAAGGGTAATTGGTGTTGAAATATCAGTGATACCCTTTGATATCGATTTCTATTCTTCTATATCTTATCCATATATTCTATATATCTATAAAAGTAATATATGAAAGATTATGTCAGATTTGATTGACAGTAGTGGCATGGTGTCTAGAAATTGGCTAGGGGTGCAGACATGGTTTTGGCGCCCCCTATAAAACTGCACCTTTTGTACGATACGATATCAATAAAACACTTAAACGGATATTGGTCAATAATGTAAAACTCGAAAAAGAACTTTTAACTTATACTACCTATAGTATCTAAGATAAAATATTTCTTAATAAGAGTATAGAATCAGAATATTGCTCAGTTCAGTGTTTGAATAAGTGCTCTTGACAGTTCGAGCTGCCACACCGAAAAGACGCCCTAACTGAGCTGCTGCGGCAATGGAAAATTAGCTCAGAGTATGTTAAGGCCACCATGCCCCATGCGTGGTATAAGCGTGAAGGGAGCGTCAGATATTGTATGGTTGGCGCCGTTGAGATCGCCACGGAATCGAGAATGACTTTAGACAAACGTAATAAGATCTCCATAAACGCAGTAAAAGTGAAGTACACCAAACCAAAACATTGTATTAGAAACGCGCGTAGGAAAAGCAATATGTTCGCATATGTCGCAGGTTGATAGCGACTTTTCTAGCGTTTTCTTCGCGGTTGCCAGTGACCAATCCAGTGTAACAGGGTTATTCTCGAGGCCCTTGCCCGA